TTGAACTTACATTTGGTAGCACCAGATTCCATAACTGAATATTACATTTTACTTTTTTATTTTTTGAAACAATGACTACGGAATTCCCTACCTCTGATCCTCTGGCTTCTGGCACTTCTAGTAATTAGCACGAGTATGCTGAGCTTATCAAACATTTTACAACCTTACTTGCAGACAACAAGAATGCAAAGGTTAAGGAACCTTCGACATACGATGGTACTAGGGATGCTCTTATTATCGATAGCTGGGTTCGATCCGTCGAAAGATATATCGCATTTTTTAACTGGTCTCAAGAAAAGAGTTACTTGTTTGCGTCAACCCTTATGCGCGATCGTGCGGACGCATGGTTTCGTACAATTGAACTCGAGGAGAATGCTCCTACCACCTGGCTGGAATTAAAACGTTTAATCATTGAATTCTTCCGTCCTGACAACGCGAATCGTTTGGCTCGTGATAGACTAGCTAGCTTACATCAAACAGGTGATCTCGTTATGTACATCAATGAGTTTATGGACATAAAGCTCGCAATTCCCAAGATTACCGACGAAGAAGCATGTGACAAGTTTGTTCGAGGCCTATCCAATCAACGAATGCGTGCGCATATTCGACAGTACGAGGCCGAAACAATCAAGGATGCAATTCATGCTGCATTGTCTTATGACAGTGCCCAACAAGAGCATGGTTCATATTCCGTCAATCCAACTACTATTCCTGTTCGACGTACAGTTGTTGATGATCCCATGGACCTGGATGCAATGGATAGCCGATTTAGTAACCGATACAACCATAGATCGTTCAGCCGTTCTAATGGATCTTATCGTCAAAACAATTACTCACGCAACAGCAGCAGTGGTTATAGAAATGGAAATAGCAACTCTTCTCGTGGACCAATTACTTGTTACTATTGTCAAAAACAAGGTCATATTAAACGAAATTGCCAAACCCGACTCACCGATATTAGTAAACTTGATGATCAGCACTCAAGCAGGAAGGATTTTCAGTCAATGTAGTTGATGGACAGGAAGTTCAACTACATTGCAAATCAGATACTTATAATACTGAAAATATTCCTGATAATAATAAAGACCTTATTGATTTTGATTCTTACTCTACTGCCTCTTCATCTTTTGATAAACAATTTCCCACACTCATACCACATTCTATTTATTATAACCCTGCTAACACTACTGCTAACACTACCTCCTCAAATAAAGTCGTTGTAGAAACCATTCCTATTGTTTATTCCAAAATATTGACAGATGATCTTCACCACATTGACGAACTCAATGCTATTGCTACTTCTCTTCCTCTTTATCCTGCTACTCACAACGGACAACAACTGGGTACTCTGATTGACTCTGGCGCAAGTGATAACTATGTATCTCCACAAGTTGTAAAAATGTTGCCTAAACATCGATTCACACTGGTTCATGATCGTCAAGTTGAAACTGCTGGTGGTGAGATATCCAAGATAAAATACAAGGTTGCCATGCTAATTAATCTAAACGGGTATCTCAATGAAATTACTGCATATGTTTTCACAACCAAATTTGATCTTATTTTAGGTCGTTCCTGGTTAAAACAAGTTCGTCCTACTCCTGACTGGCTTACTGATAGTTGGTATTTAAAGAATGGCCGTATTCGACTTGATCCTCTTCCTTCTATCATGCCAAAAACTTCTTGACGAATGTTTACAGCAGGGTACAATTGCCATTCGATTTGACTGCGAATGGGCTGTAAGAGGTAAAAGATCAGCAATTTCCATCAGTGAGCAGTCTGGTTTGAAGTTCGTTCCTGTTGCTTTGGTGCAAATCGCTTACGGTAATTCTGTTTACTTGATGAGAATACACTCATTCGCCTCAGACAATCTACCTGAAAATTTAATCAAGATCCTCACTGATACCAAAATAGCCAAAATCGGAAAAAACGTCAGCGGTGATCTTACAAGATTTCGCTATTTTGGTCTCCAACAATGCCCTGGTCAACTGGAACTTGGTACCTTTTGCAAAGATAAGGATCTCATGGAAAGAAGAAATACATCTTTGGCCGATATATGTGGGCTTGTTCTGAAGGTGCAGTTACCCAAGACAAATTTTGTTCGTTGTGGCAATTGGGAAGCCCCAATCCTTTCAGAAGAGCAAATAAATTATGCAGCTTTGGACGCTTGGGTGTCATACGAAATTTATACCAGATACAAACATATGCCCACGGTTCATCAGAAAGTAACTGTCAACACAACAGCCGGTTCTTTTATTGCAATTCATTTGGACAAATCTGCCTCGTCCTCTGTTGCTGGATACAGCTATATATGCAATGATGATACCCCTCCTACAAATAATACCCATGAAGCACTTCATACCAACAGCGCACTTATTGTAAAAGTTGTGAAAATAACTATTCCTGGATACCCTTTGGAGTGTTACAATGAGGTTCTGACCTTAGGTGATTTCCATAACATACCCTTCACTGTTTATATCAAATGCAAATATCTGTTTACAGCTTCAGAAAGAGTACATAATGTAGTTTCTGATACTTATAATACCCCAATCATACAAATACCACCCATTAGCAGCGATACCACTTCTTCACCAATCAATACCAATAAGAATTCTGTCGACTCCCGTGTTTTAAAAGTTGGATTTCATATTATGGACATGATCAAAATTAATAAGTCTCATGGAATGCAAAAAGACTTCATGCGTCGTTTCCGTGACATCATGTATGTATGTGACCAAGAGGATAAAGCTTTAGTAGAAAGTTATCTTGAAAGTATTGGTACGGACTGAAAGACACGGATGTTCGTAAACCCTGCTTGGATATTCGAACGTGTAAGAAGGCATATACCCCCAGCCGAAGAATTATACCCCGCCTTGAAATTCCTTTTTGAAAGCTACGGTCCTCTCAGGTGTGAGCATTCCGGCCTTAAACTCTTCAATGACGCAGCGGTTGCCATGTCCCTGCATGTTTTGGATTCGGTGAAGCAAGGACATGTCTCAGACGTTGTTAATGGGCCTCCATTATATACTGAAAAAGGCTTGGACAAAAACAATCTCATGACATATAAATGCTCCAGAGGAACAAGCTCGGTTGAAGGAGCATGCCATATGAACATTGTTCGAAGGTTTGCTTCTTACAATGCATCAGTTAGATTGACCGACTCAATTTTAGCCGACTACCGGTTATATCATAACCTCAATGTAAGTAATAAATGATTTAAAAAATATTTCATAAACTGAAAGTTATACATCATCATAGGTTGGATCAATTAACAGATACGGTAAAAAGCATCAAGGCCATTATAGTCCTTGGCTTGTACTGGCTATAAATTTATTAAGAGCTGAAGTAGGTCACGATACCGTTATGAATTATACCTGTGAACGCTATGGGAGTTACTTGAATTTTGAACAGACCAATGAAACTTTTGGTGTCGTCGATATACCCAGAACATTTGGCAACTCAATTGGAATTAGGCCTACTGAATCTCTTGCTCCAAAAAAAGTTAAAATAACAAAAGGTCGGATGACAGAACTTGCTTCTTTGCCTGTGGTAGAGCTTCCGAAAATTGGTTATTCCGCTAACAAGTTCAAATACAAATATCTATCGAATTGTCAAGGCACCTTGTATGCTGTAACTGCTGTTCATACAAAGGAAGAAGTATGTCTTTTTGAAACTCTAATTAATACCCAAGGCCAAGAGAGTACATCTATATACCAACCTTTTGATTCGGAAAAACCGAATTTCGAGCTTTTCGCTTTAACATGGAACTCTAAACATTGCCAACATGATACCAATATTTATTACAAGACACCAGGGCATTTAAAATCATATTTTAACATTTTAGAAGACAGGAAAAAATACGGAAATACTGTTCTCAAAAATATTGAAATATCACAAAGTGTTCGAGTACTTGCTGAATCCCCATCCAGGTTTATAAGATCAATACCTGCATTACCCAAACCAATACCCCCTATAGAGCAACATTTTCCACTTGGTACAATCAACCCACCATCACCTCAATTACAGATGATACGCCCTGCATATCGCTCCAGACATTTCCCGGGTGCCACCCCTCTTACAATACCACTTTCACGCCACGTTACAGCTGAAGTAATCAATCTATCAAATAACAGAAAACGGAAAAGAGTATGTGTGGTATGCATGGTAGATAACTGTCCTGGAAGTTCCAAAGGTTCTCTGTGCAGTAACAAATGCGGACGATGCAGACAAGAAAGCTGTACAGGTAGACACGTTAAACAACCAAAAACTGGGAAGAAAGATTTTGTACAGCCTTTGCCTTGTTTAAATTTATAAATGTAGCTGATAATGTATGCTGGAATTGCTACCCGTCATTATTTGCTACAAACCCAAATCACTAATACCTAATTACAAATAAATCATGATATTTCCCTTAAATCACTTCAATAAATCTCGTAAAAAACAAATGGAACTTTACACGTAAAAAATTAAGTAAACCCTTCTTAAATCCAAAATCAGATGAATTAAATGATATTTTAATGAAATGGCCCAACTATGGTTACACGGCCAAAAAGTTTACGTATATTCACGTGACTGTCTCAAAATATTACGTAATATACTCTTCATACGTTTTTTTTTTATGTACGTCTGTTTTGTTTATGTCTGATTTTTTTACGTCTGCTTTTACGTCTGTTTGAATTTCCAGTTAGTCTATTCTTTTTACATGTCTATTTTTTTTTACATGTCTATTCTTTTTACATGTCTATTCTTTTTACATGTCTATTCTTTTTACATGTCTAAAAAAACTTTATACATCTGTTTAAATTATCAGTACGTCTATTTTTTTTGTACGTCCATGTTTTTTATACGTCTGTTTTTATACTTTTATTTTTTTCATACGTCTGTACTTTTGAACGACTGCGTATTTGAATATTTATACGTCTAATTTTCCTATCACTATAAACATACTTATTTTCTATGTGTTGCTTTTCAGGTCTAGGTTTTATTTATATTATATTTTTTATCTAATCTTCTTCAAAATCGGCTGTGAAGTGGAAAGGGTTTAAAAGTGAACCAATTTCATAAGTTTCAATCATAATTTTGGCAGCATCTTCGAGTAAAACACTGATAAATCGATGATAATTTAGGAAAAATGACAAGTAAGATTAACCAGATTGCAAAAATTAACTGAACTTTTATTAACATAAAGTTTAGGGGTCCTTTATATACATATTGAATTCGACCTCCTTCTTAGACAGGGCTAGATGACAGGCAAGATTATGACTGACACGCCATATCTTGAAAGTAAGTAATCCAATGAGAATCATATAATAGAAGAAAGAGTGGTACACGTTTCTATAATAGGTCTGTAGTGTCACTTGACGCGTACATTTAAAAGTCATCAAAGTACATTCAAAAATTTATCATGTTTGTACTTTTAAACCTCGCTTGTCATTGGCCTCCGCTAATCTGATTAGTACAATATATTAATAATGTCTTTTTAGAATAATTGTATAATAAATGTATACTTTTGTACTTGTATTTAGCTTGATGAATATCGTGCTAGTTTGTTAAGTCAATTGTGAATATTTAATATGCAACATTAAAAGAAGTGTTTATAAAATTATCGTAATGGATAAAAATATGCTGTGTAGATCAAGCATACATGAATATATAAAGCTCGATCACAACAAACACCTTGATCTTCAGCGATTATTCGACAAGCGATTTCGGGATTGACAATAATTGTAAGAAATTCGTGGTGTCTGAAAGAGGTTGATTTCTTGACTTCAGAATTTTTGTACTCATCCTGGTTAAATCGACGAAGTGCTGCATGACCAATGACCTCAAAGCCTTTCGGGCCATAATACCCAGGCTAATGATACATACAATATAAGTGATATGTCAAATTTGACGCTAATCTTTTTTCTTACCATGATCTGTTTTTGGTTTTGTTCAAAGTGGACAAAGTGTTTAAGGTTGGCTTGCGTTCCGGAGTTATCTTGACCAGCTTTAGATTTAAATATACTTTTGATTTCCCCCGAAACTAGTTTTTGGACAATTCCACTATTGACCAACTCGAAGGCGCGACGTTTAAGTGATTCAAAATCAACACTTAGACAGTTGTACTTGGTAATTGTTGGCAGAAATTCCTGGATTTTATGGGACTTGCAGAATTCATCTAATCTTGGGTTAAGCTTATTGTTTAATTTGTGCCATTCACCTTTAAGTTTTTTGTATTTTCTTTCGTAGCGGTTGTTTTCCGCATTTACTTTTTTTTATCAAGCTCCTTTGTTAAGATGTCGATTTCAGTGTATTCTTTGAACATAGACGTATCCTGGTCACCTTCTTGGAAAATGTGCTTTTGGCACTTGAAGCAGGAAAGCGTTGTGATTGCAGGCGTAGCTAGGTTACGCATTTTTTACAAGGTTTTCAAAATAAAGGGTGACTGTGGAGGAAGAGGGGGCAAGACTACACGTTTGGGCTTGCATAGAATCGTATCGGAAACAAGTCGAGCAGTTGTTTTTTAATGGTGCTGTTTTTGCGGTTGTTGCTATTTTTTTTAAATTGATTTTAATTAATATTTTTTCTTGTTCTTGTTGGGTTTTTTGATTTTCGTGTTGTTTTTGTTTATTTGAATTTTTTCTTGTTTTTGGTTTGTTTGAATTTTTTCTTGTTTTTGACCTATTTGGTTTTTATCTTGTTTTTGGTTTATTTGAATTTTTTCTTGTTTTTGGCTTATATGGTTTTTGTGGGTGTTTTGTTGTATTTCATTTTTTGTAAGGTCTATATGTTCTTTTTTTGGGTTGTTTGATTCAATCAAAGTGGAGTTTGTTGTTTCTTGAGAGTGTAATGTTTTGTATAGAGCGATTCTAGAGTTGACATATAAATTCCAATAGTTGGAATCTATTGCTTTTCTATATTCTAAGTTATTAGTTAATGGGAGAAGAGGACAGTCGGGATACATTTGGAGTGACATGTAATGGTTTCCATAGAATAAAAAACTGATGGGTCGATTTGAGTTTATGGGACAATCCGGCAAGAAGGTACAAATATTTTTGCTCTTCTGTGAATAGAAATAAACAGGGCGTTGGTACAAATCCGCAATCAGATAACCTGACATGTTTTTGGAAGAATTAGCATTTTTTCAATATATAATTAAATTTAAACATATAGTTACCTGTGGAGTTCATGATCATCCAATTGTTGATTTCACAACCACCTCTATACGATAGGTTAATACTTTTTAATAATTCTTCATACTCCATGATACAATCAGCAAAAATGTACGAAAGGTAGTGTGTTTTGTTGCTGATTAGATGATTGTACAGAGATTTTCTAACATACATGTAGAAATCTTCATCTTTCATACTTATCATTGACTTCAACACCAACAGAAATTGCTGTTCTTAGAACGTCTTCTTTTCCAACTGATGCAGCTATAGTTTGGAAGCCGCAGTTTCCATCTCCATCAACATCCGTCACCAAAGCAACAAGACCGATCATGAACTTGGGCATACAAGCTTGAAGGACATGATGGGGGGGGGCTTGGTAACTTATTTGCCCTGGAGACTGGCGCCCTTTTCCAGCATGTGACTTGTCAAAACGGGTTTGGGCAAAGCCTTCTTTTGTTGCAGCTTTTTTATTCTCGCCTCTTTGTGGACATCGACATGCACTGATTCGCCTTGAGACAGCATCTGTCCTGATTTGGCCACTTTTTCTAATAATAATAATACTACTATCAGTAAAAAATCAGCATCGATAGCATTATATATAGCACTACTTACGACTGGATGGCAAGTTTGAGTCTTTCGTTTTTTTTGGAGGAGGCTGGATAATCTCAATGTCTTGAAGCTTGACCAAGTTCGACGTCAAATTACGAATTAATCAAGCTTCTCGTCCTTGACATGCTTAATTAATTGAATCTAATGCCGTCTTTAATTTGAAGATAGTTATCTCCGTCTCGGTTGCATCTGCATACATGTCTGTAGTGCAATAAAAAAAATAACTTATGGACTTTCATTTTTTTTTTTAAAAAAAAGGAATTGCTTATCATTACCTGTACTTTCGGTTGCGGCTGTGGGTGCGATTTGTTTATCAGCATTCCCCTTATTGATATGCCATATTATGTCAACCGAAGAAAGAAAAACAAAAATGTCTGATCTGGCTTGTATATTTGATACATTGCCACTGCCACCTTCTATAATGTTTTTGTATTCTTCGTCAAAAATCGTGTGTCTGCACGGAAGATTCATGGTACTTTTGAAGACACCAGTGCATGGCCTTAATTTATTCTTCTTCATCTCATCGTAAAAAGAATTTACTTGCTCCCTTATCTTTTTAATGGCGTAAGCGCTGACAACCTTGAGGATTTTTGCGTACATTGGATTTCCAATCAATGATGGATCACACGAAATCTTCGAAAACCATTTGGCCATGTTGCTTTTGACCTTTTGGTTTTTGAGAACCATATCAAGCTGCACAAATGTCTTAGGCATAGTGCACTTAACAATAGCCCTATTGTTTCCTTTAAGTGCACTATGTGCAGCTTCCGCAGGACTGGTTGTATAATTGCCCATATGAGGAAACTTATCGGTGTATTGTCTTATCCAGTAAGCTCTTTGTTTAAACAATTCATCCACAAATTCATTGATTTTTTCGGGCTTTCTTGAAACCAATGCATGTTTTTTGATATTCTCAACAGCAGAAAGCACTTCTTCGTCACTCTTGCACCTATGCAAATCCCAGAAAAGACCTTCCAATTCTTTGAAATCTTCCGATTTTTCGAACAATTTAAAAAAATTGGCCTTAACATTTTGGGCTCTAATGTGCCAAACACAAATCATTTTTGCAACATCTGGAAAAATCAAATCGAGACTTCCACGAACACTTGCAGCTCTATCGGTAATAATGACTTCAGGCATAACGTTGGCTTTATTGTAAATCTGTACAAATGTAACGTGATGTTGTAATAAGAGAAAAATATTAGCTAAATGTGATTGCAATAAGACATTTCAGCCACATTACCTGGTTTTTCAACGTATCAAAAAACCAAGTGTACGTTTCCTTTGTTTCATCGGCTACCCATGCCAGAGCAATAGAAAAATTTATCAAACCGGAGTTGGCTTCGTTGCTAACATTATCCACACCAATTGCACTGATCAATGGATAACCAAATACGTTTCTTCTGTATGTGGCGTCAACAATGAGCACTTCCGGACATTGGACAATGTTGGCGATTGTTTTTTCATGGGAAAAAAAAAGATGGGTAAGTCTTCCATCGTTGTTATACTGATTTGAGAGAGTATAACCTCTAGCTTCCATCTCCTTAATAAAAGGATTTAAACTCTCCTGATTACAACCCTCGTTCGAAGCTCTTCTTATTCTTGATCTGACATTGGTTACATCCTTTGCTATGGCATAAGTACCGGAAACGGATGCACTGTTGACAGCCGCAACAATAGACGAGGTCTTGACATTAGCCAAATGCAATTCTTCAATCTTACTTTGTTGGTTAAGATCTAAGCTTCTGTTTTTTAACAAACAAAGTCGATCATCACCTTCAAGCTTGTCATGGTTGTGACTATCCACAGTAGAACCGATGACCCAACAATTAATATTTTTATTGAATGAGGCCCTAACAGAAAAAAGACAGGTACCGGATTTTGACAATTTGACCCTTTTTCGAGATCCTTCGGAAACTTGATTTCTGTACTTGTCACGGAACACGCAAGCTAAATGATAGAAAGGGTTTTTACCCTTGCGTCCAACAGGTGCACTATCACGAGTATGCAATTCAAATCCCTGGTATGCAGCAGCAGAAAAACAAACCTCTAAAAATTCTTCAGCGGATGCAAATCTATCCCCAATAGCAGGAAATTGCTCGAATCTATTAATCGACATTTTCAGAGACTTTTATTTCTTTATGATGAGTTAGAAAGTTCATCAATAATTTCTATTTGGAGGTCCTTTACATTTAGTAAGTTGTTCTTAACCTCCCTGCTTGCAAAATCACCTTTTATAGAGTTTTGTACTTCCGAAGGAAGTACTAGTCCTTTTTTAAGCTTTGTATACCTTCCATCTATGTCGAGTAAAATTTAAAGAAAAATAAAAAGTTGGAGTAAAGCCCCAGTTTTTACAGGATTCACCTGTAACTAAAACTACAGCCTGTTCAGAATATGATACGCAATGACACTTAATATTATCTTAATCCCAGGGAGTCAAAATGTACTCGCCGTATATGGTCATCCGTATACCTTCCATATACGGCGACCAAATTTCAATATTTTGGTATATATCAACAGATTTTGACTTACATACTTTGGGAATTTTACCAGATCTTATTGATGCTTTCTTAAAGATATAGGCAAAGTTTCAGCTCAATACAAAGATCAAAAATGAGTTCATTAAATCGACATATATGGAAATATTTTGCGTACCCATTTACAGTATATCACACAGCAAAGAAGCCCAAGTATAGGAAATGTTTTTAACATTTCTGGAAAGTTAATATCTTCAATCGAAATACAACAAAAAAAAAATGTTCTGCATTATGAAATTCAGAAATTCAGAAATAAAAAACGAAGACAATTTATTGTACACGCCTTGTAACAATGGGGATTAAATACCGTATTATTTTATTATGTTAATCTTTAACCTGGTCTATACCTGGTTTTTTTTTGATACCATTGATGCTTTTACAGTGGACTCAAGTTTTGTAAAAAAAAACTTTGTACAAACTTCAACACGTTTTCAGCGAGTTAAATCATTTCTACCCTGTCCACGAGGAACAAATAACAGGAATCGCCAACTACAAAGCCCTAGTTATAGCAAAATTTGATTAGTAAATATCTTCTATTCAATCAAGCTTTTGAATTTTTATAAACGCATATTCTTGTTTCAGTTTTTTTAACATATAAAATTATATAAACCAACATACTAAATTGATACATCAAGATAGAAGCAATAATAGTCAGACTGAGTTTTAGCATTTCAAAATAATATCTCTACCAGATAGACCAACACATAGAACGGATTCTACAATACTAACTGTATACACGTTGTAATGTTTTACAAACAGGAAATAACAGTATTACGTACGGCTTCTATAACAGCTACTGCGTGTAAAAATGTTGGATTTGCTTATCGGGTGAAACCTAACGTGAGGTAGTTAATTAGAACATCCAATGACACGAAGCAAAAAGTTAACAATTTATTCTACAGATAGTCACTATTGATATGGCTTATGTTTACATAGTAACTTATTAAAGTGCCTGTTAATGTGTTAAAGAATTCTAATTAACGCCTCTTTGGCACTTCTCTCAGGATAACATTACATACGTAAGGGAAACAAACTAATACAAAAACTTAGAGAAGTTAATTACATTACTGGAAAAAAAAAGTAGCGGCCTAGAGGCAAATATGATAAAGTTCATTTCAAAAGAATAAAAAAATATGTCTAAATAAGCTAACTGGTACGCCACGAATAACAGGCAACTCAGCTCTTAATCCAAAATTCGCAAAAAACTCATGACGACAAAACACTCAAGCCTTAGTGTGCAAAACACACCTAAACATGAGAAAGTACAGAATCTAATTCGAATCGAGTGCAATCAACTATTTAAAATTGAAGAGTAGTAGGATAATCATTAAAGAAAAAAGCGCCAATAGCTCGTAATAGTTGTCATTATCGAACATCATAACTATTAATTTTTGGGGAGAACCAGAATGCTAAATAATCAAATGAAGAAACTGATGCTTTTGTGACAAAATTTTATTCTTTCGATTTTATAATTCATCAATCTATTAGAAAGGGAAGCTCCCTACAGCAACCCAGAATTGTTGAAGTCATAAAATGGATTTGCTTTATGATCAATTTAGATTATTAGTCGATGGGAATTATAGAATCAGTAATTCACTGTCGAAAAGTGACAATGAATCTTTGGTTATAGCAGCCTAAAATGCCGCAGCAGTGGGTGGTATTGAAATAATCTTTTTTTCTGATAATGCCCTCAATTATCGTGTTACCTGTATGTGCATGTTTACAAAAGTTGAATCTGGAAGCGAGCAAATCTCATACAACAAACGTGACAAATCTGCATTGTATGCACCAACTTAACAAGGAACAAGTAAATTAGATAGATAATGACGTTCGTAACAAAGTCTGTTTATGAAATTATGACAGATATGTTGTAAAACCTCTCATCATTTTTCTAACAATATGCAAAGCGACTTCCCAAGTTTCTGGTTTTCTCGTCTTTGTCTAACGGGAATGTATTTCAAAATAACAGTATTGAAGATTGGTAATGTCGTATGCGATTCAAAGCCATGTTTATATTTATATAAATATTTGCAATAACTTTGATAATCGTAAATTAGGGACAACAGTATTAAAAAGGGATTATATATCTTGAAAACTATGTTGGTTTAAATAAGGATGTCAACTTTGTGAAACGCCGAAAAGAAAAGTTTGCGTTTTAAACAGAATTTCCATCTACTTCATGAGTAAATATTTCGCAATTAACTTCGTAATCTGCTATATACGTTCACACTTTGCAAACATCTCCAATTTTCTTACCGGCATCAATATAAATCACAAACGAAGTAAAATATTCTCTGTTGCAACTACATTAATGATATGCCTACTCATAGTAATATTTTGAGTGACAAAATGTAATGATTTATACTTTATATGGAAGGAGTCTACCAGTCGAAATTAGAAAAAAAAAGCTGTGTAAACATAAGCAGTGAATACAAAAAAAAGTCTATATACATTTAAGCCATTCAACGCTCAAACGTCCATATGTACAAGTTGGAATTTATCATAGCTATAAAATATACTAAACTGCAAACACACTTAACATGATCTTAAGCCTCAATACAAACTCAAGGGCAATAATCTAAGACACTTTTAATTGCATTATATTGGCAGCTTTTCAATTGTTATTTGTATCGATTAATAGAGTGCAATAAATTGTTGCCTGTGATTTTAGCCAATTTTATTATATCTCATATGCCAATTTCTCTACGTTATAACTTAATCATTTTTCTCTCCCTCCTACACGGCAACTT